ATATATTACAATGATATAGCACAAGTGCTTAATGGTAATTTTATTTTTCCACTTACGAATTTTCAAGCGAGCTCGAGCATTTTGATTTCGAGTCCAGCTCGAGCCTCATAATTCGAGCTCGAGCATCTAAAAAAATTCAGATAAGGTCAATTCTCGACTCGGCTCGGCTCCTCTGCAGCCCTATTGCCGAGTCAGAAATTATTCGTATTGTCATTTCAAAATCTCCTTAAATCTTAAACGTTGTAGTCTAAAGTACACATGTAATGATATAGTAATGCTAGGGAGTCAACTGTTGGCTCCCTAACGGAGCCAACAGCCAATGAGACAGCTCCATGTAGGGCTGTCCCACATTAAAGTCATGTGGGACAGCCCCACATGGAGCTGTATAATTGGTTGTTGGCTCCGTAACGGAGCCAACAGTTAGCTCCTTAGCATTCTTGTGTAATGATATATATGGTGTTCGCTCGGGTCGCATAATCCAAAGAATATCGATTTTTTTTTTAGATGTTTTAGACACCTTTTACAGTTACACACATGGTGAATTTTGATATGGAGTCGGAGACTTCCCGAGTCACAAATTATTCGAACACTTCCTCATACCATCGACTCGAAATCTCCCTAAATCTTAACCAATGCATTGTTTTTTTTTTTTTAGGTGGAGACGGCACTAGCTCTCGGGGCCACCCCTCGACAGGCGACCGTGCAACAAGTGAGACGGGCGCTCGTAATCGCACTTTCCCCAGTATTGGACAATGCCAAGACGGTCGGGCTTATTTCTCTCCCGGGAGCCATGACGGGCCTCATAATGGGCGGGGCCTCGCCTCTCGAGGCCATACAACTTCAAATCGTGGTCATGAACATGCTCGTCGGGGCCTCGACCGTCAGCAGTATCTTGTCCACTTATCTTTCATGGCCATCTTTCTTTACCAAGGGTTATCAGTTGGAGACTAAGGTCTTCTCTGTGGAATAAAATTTTGGGACTACAAGATGGTTTTTACTATGTCTTTTTTGGCAAATGAAATTTACATGAAAATGGTGTAAGATATGTGTTTTGGTTGAACTGTTGATAATTGGAAATTTTTGGTCTAGAAAATTTTGAAGAGGTACTTTTTTGTAGTAAAAAGTAGGATCATGGGCCAAAATCTTGTGAATTTCATCCATTGAATCTAAACTGGTAAGTTGTATATCATCACATTGAGGTAATTTTACACATTTTTTGTTTAGAAATCACATCGAGAACATTACTCTATGAAATATCGTACTTTTATTTATATTATTTTTTAAAATTGATAAAATTGTTAAATCAACCTAACTTTCACTAGACAAAATATGTCAAAAAAGTACCCCCAAAAAAAAAAAATAAATAAATAAAAAATCCTACCTTGCAAAGTATCACAACAGCAAGACAAGAACTTGTAGAAAATAAAACTACACTTACAAGATTCCTGATTTCTGAGAGGTGCTCCATACAGCTTGATTGAACTCCTCCAATTCTTGTGAGTTCGTGCCGTAAACAGATTTAATCGTGTCCACACAGCAACTGTCGAAACAAAAAGGAGAAAAAAAAATATATGTATCAGTTGATATCAAAAGATTCAGATAAGGAGTTTTAGGTTTTTGTTTATACCTGCAAGCCTCCTTGTTGAACTTCTTCTTGTCAATACCATACAAGACCTCAAAAATCCCAGGCTCGACCCGACAAAAGTAAGGACGCTCTGAAAATTCCAAAAGGAAAAGGAAGAGGAAAAGCTTTGATACACCACAAACATTATCCTTAAACTGGGCATCCTTAAAAAACTTATGACATATGAGCTTTTAAGAATCTTGGTAAAAACGAAGAATTTCACTTTACCGGCATAAATGGAGCATTTTCTTGATCCCTTATCATAGTTTATGCACCACCCATCTTCACCAACCATGCTTTTGTACAGCTGATAAAAATCGTAAAAGAAACATCTGAGTCCTCGTCTTAGGCAACCGTACATTTTCAACACATTTTCGTACTTTTCAACTCAAATGTCGTACTTTTAACAAACACAGACATAAGTACAACATTTCATAGCATAAAGTTACGTTTTTTTTTTTATCAAGAAAATTACTGACATGTCGACCCGACTAACGTTAGACCGACTCATACAAGAATTTCTATTTAGTTTTTTCCCTTACTTTATATGCTCTCTATTTCAGCCCTTTCATGCTCATAAATCATAAATTCAGCTTATATCGAAATTTGAGCTTGGAAAATTGAGCTCAAAAGAGAAATTAGCTAAAACAATTAATCATGACGAGAAACGTACAAATGAATTAGACCTCAATATCAGAAGGGTCGTCAAAGACTTCCTCAGGGGTTGGAAAAGTGGGGCCCTTGTCGAGCTTGCAGCAGGCGCCGCAGTTCTGTATGCACTGCCACACGGGATCTTTTCTCTTGCCGCCGAACCCTTGAGCGGCGGCGGCGGCGGCGGTGGTGGTGAGAGTTTGGGGTTGGGACCTCTTCGGAGGCCCTGCGGAGGAGGGTTTCATGTTAGCCGCGGCGCGCACGGCGGCGAAGCACGTCGGAGACATGGCCAGCGTCGCCGCGGGTAACATCTAAAAGGAGCTCGGGCTGAAACTTTCGACGGCCGAGAATCATTCAGGGGAGGATAAATATTCTTCATTTGGGCTGCTTGGACCTTTAAGATACGATTAGCAGATTGCATTTAAAAGGTCCAAAAGACACTTTTGCATCTTCATTCGGGCCTTTTAGGCCCAATATTAAAGAATTTAGATTTAGTTCAGCTACAAGTTGCTGTTAATTTTGACCGAGCTTGAGCATCACGCTTTTGATCTCGAGCAAGCTCGAGTTGTTCGACGAGCCGCACGAATATACACATATTACCTAAATATACTCACATAATACTTTTGCTATTGAAATTCCAAAACCTAAATATTTAATTGAAATTCCAAACCTAACTTGTGCAAAATTCAAGTTGAATTTCGAGCTCTTGCTTTCATCCGAGCCAAAAAAAAGTTTGGCTCATCGCGCTCGATCGCAAGCTTGAAACCACTAAATATTGAGCTTAAATTGATAAGGCCAATGTGCGCTCGATAGCAAGCTGGAAACCAGTAAAGAAAAAAAACATATATATACATCGACCTTAAATATAAGACCAATGCTCTGCTCAACTGAGCTGAATTCATTTACAAGTAACACTTTTTAAGCCTTGGCGCTTATACATGTTAATTGGTGTGATATATAAACTAATAGCAATGGCAATTTTGTTATAGTAAAAGGTCTATATTGTTAAGCATACTTTAGAGGCAATATTCAAGGACAAAATCACTTGTTATTTTGTAAAAAAAGACATGAATAATGAGAAAGAAGTTATTACAAACCAGACAAGGAATTTCGAACAGTAACTAAAACCACAACAAGGCAACAAATCCATCCAATCCACCAGAAAATTATAATAAAACAAGGTCACAACAACACAGCCAACATCAATCAAACTACGGCTACCGAAAGTCCACAATTCCACAAAAATACCTAAATGCAATTTCTTCAGTAAAACCGAAATACACTCGACTGCTCGATTTTCAGCTTCACATCCCAGTTCACTCGCTGTTGGTATGCCCAGCACCGCCATTTTCATCCACACCACGACTAGGAGGAGACTCACTATTTCTCGGGTAGCCAATATCATTCTCATCAACAACACGGTCAGGGGACCCAGTGCTATTCGAGTGGGCTCTGTTATTTTCATCAATGCCTGTTTTGCCTATACTTGGACTCGGGCTTGCCTGCTTTGGACTATTATCGGGACTTGGGCTGTGATTCCTTGTCTTTAACTTTGGGCTTCTTTCTTGAGGACTTCTTGAACGTCTCTCTTTATGCTCGATATCTTTCCCTCTTCTAGGAGGAGGAGACCTCGAACGGCTATTATAAACATAGAAACTAAGTGAAAAAGAACGAATAAAAGAGTCTGAAATGAGATTGATTACATTCTAAGGTAAATAGAAAAAAAAAAAAAAATAATCAAATCTACCATTTGGTTCTAATTTGTCAACTTTTAGAGCCATAAATATTTTTTGTTTTAATAGGGTTTTTTTGATTTTTTAATTTTATGATGTTTATTTGGGGTTATAGTTATTATAGAGTTCTTTTCGTGTTTTCTTCTCTTTGGTATCCGTTTCAATCGTTTATTAGTTTAAAATTTTCTTGTAAGGGATTGGTTAAATACCTGTAACTACGAGTCGGGCTAAAACTTCGGCTCCTACTTCTACCACGGTGAGGCGAACGGGACCTCACAGGCGAGCGTGAGTAACTCCGGCCACGTCTGCAATTGAACAAAGAATTTGAGAGCCACATCACAAGGTAAACTTTATCAGTTTTTTCGCAAATCAAGAAGAAAGGGTAAAAAAAAGGCATAAACTGTTGTATGAGTATCCACTATTGTCAGAGAACAAAAGAAGCTAATATATACCAGATTGAAAATAAAAATAAAAAGAAAAAAAAAATATTCTTACCTCAGCTTCTTGGGACTGTCCCGGCAATCCTTTTCCACATGACCTCTTTCCCCACACCGATAACACTTGTTTTTCCAGTCGCCGGATTTGCAATCACGGGCCCAGTGGCCCTCAATTCCACAATTGAAACAACAGCCCGTTCCAGGGGCTGGACCTCTGCCACCGTAGTCTCGGGCCCCTCCTCTTGATCCACGTGGAACCTGTTTGACCAGTTTTCACGGGACAAAAATTAATCAAATAGAAATTTATTTCAAAAACCTGAAATGTAAGGCAAAATGTTCGCTTATTCGTGATATTCGATGAGATGACACAAGCAATTCTATTCGCTCCATTAATGGTTTTTGTAATACGCAAAACTAGTTGGGTTTATGGCAATTTGTCAAATATTAAAGTTAGGGCTTGATTGTATACCAAATAATTTACTCACTTTTATTTTAACTCAAAATTTAACTCAACTTTAACTCAACTCCATTATCTTTAATATTATTTAAATAATAAAATAATACAAACCAATAATTCTTATACATCACATCAACTTTAATTTACTATTCATCAACTCACATAATTTTAACTACCAATCGTTTTCAATCATTTATCTCTTACTTTTACATCAAATCAATTCTAATCATTTTATTTTAAATATTATTTTAATACATTCTTAAAATTCACTAACAACTAACCACCACTTTTTTCAAAATTAACTATGGTTAACCAAAATAACTCATTTTGAACAAATTATTTCATAAACAATCAAGCCCTTAGTGTTTGTAATAATAATCCCAAATATTCTTGAAATTTTTCACATGCAAAGGCCAACGAGTAACAGCAACAACCCACAAACAACAGCATAAGAGAGAGAGGGAGAGAGGGAGAGAGAGAGAGAGAGAGAGAGAGAGAGAGAAGAGAGAGAGAGAGAGAGA